ATAAAGTGGAGGGGTTGTGCAAAAGGCAGGCCAGTGTGAAAATACAGAAATGTTCTTTCCCTGAATTATGCTTGTTTTCACCTCTGCCAAGCAAGTTAATAATAATAATAGGTATAAACATAGTTAACGACATGAAAGAAGATCTAATTAAGTGCCTGGATCTGAAATAATGTTGCAACGACGTTATAGTCCATGATATGGTTAAAAGTTATTTCATAAATTCTATTTGTTTCAATTATAATCAGGGCAACATTGCTAAAGTTTAGCTTGTGACTGAAGTAACAGAACTGATTAATGACTGTTACTGTGAATTTCCATAATGAGTGAACAGGGTCCTGAAATGTCATACCAGCATGGCCTGAAAAATAATTTTTTTAAATTTCTTATAAACATCAGAGTCTCAATAAAAGTCAAGTATTTAATCACCTAAAATTAGTGCAGGCTGTGATGTTTGTTGTCATTCCCTAGATTTGCTTAAAAAGATTCTTTTTGAGAATTACTTGGCAAGGCCATATTTATTCCTCCTTTACATGCAGCTTTGCTTCTGCTACTTAAGATTAGCCAGCACAGAGCTCCATACAGGAGAAAGTCGAAGAGGCTCTAAAAGTAAGAATTGTTCTTCATTGTAAATATATAGAGCGCAGTTTGGAAGAGGATGTCGACGGTATCAGAATCCAGTACATTTGGAGAGATTTGCCAAAGTCTAATGTGATAGACTGATTCATTCCTTTTAGATAACCAAGACATGTTTTTATTTTTTAATATGGCTAGAGAAGGAGGGGAAACATGGTGCTCTGAGAAAATGAAGAGTACCAGACTGTGACTGGTACCATATTTGGAATGCAGATACGGCAAGTTTCTGAAAAAGAGCATTTTGGGAGCGTGAACTGAATGTCATTAAATAAATAATTCATCTATCATCATCTGGTTTTCTTCTAAAAAACCCCAACCTTCAAAGCTTTGAATATTGGCAAAACTTTAAGGCTGAGGGTGTAACTATTAATGTCTTACCTTTGGGCAACCATCTTAAGTCTCTTACAGGACACCTTTTTTATAGTGTTTGGTTCCAGTTCTTGTTTGGGTTTTCATTAGCAGATTTCATTGCATTTTATCACTCTGGATGGAGTGCATATAGTTAGTGATTATAAAGAGCATATTGGAGCTCTTTGGTTGGTGCTGTTTATCTTTACCAAATTGTTTAGTCTCTCAAATTGCTAAGTAATCTCTTAGCAAAACCTATTTCTAATATACTTAAATAATTGATCTCTTATTACTATGTAGCTATGGAGGATTTGAAAATTAATCATCTCCATTCTGTTTGGACAGCAGAGGAAGGTCTCTGCAGTTAATAAATGTTAACCTCCACAAAGAAGGGTTTGCAGAGATACAGAGGGAGTGCACAGCCCTGGCCTTCAGCCCAGATGACTTCAGCAGTTTACAACCTTTTGTCTTTAAACATGATTTCTTTGAGATTTTTACTGCCACTAGATTTTTTTTTTTCCTTCCCTTTGAAAGGAAAAAGGCTAAATGCTTAATTTTGCTTTTGACAGCGGATGTGAAAGTCTGCTTGGAACTGCCCCCTGCATAGAATGGCAGCATGAGAAGAACAAGAAGTGCCTGGTTTGCGTCAGGAAGAACACGCCGTGCTGCTTCCACTCCCACTGCTCTCCTCAGCCTCCCACAGCCTCAGCTACCAACTCCTTAACAGGAAAGTCATTAAACTCTTTAGCATGTGAGTATGCCAAGATCCAATAGTTATCCCTAGATAATGAGCAAGCTTAGATGAAGCAGCACCCTTTCTGGTTCCTGTCCTTTCTTTCCAGTCACTGTCTTACTTTCACACTCTGACTAAACTTGTAGGATGGTTATATTAAAATCAGTGGAAGATTTTCTCTATTACAGGTTCAGCAGGCTGAGATCTCACCAACATCTGTTTCCTTCTTGTCCATGCCAGCAAACACCAGCATGAGGACTTGTAGGACTAGAAGACAGTCCTTGGAAGTCCACTTAAATTCATGTCTTTCTCATATTAGTCATGATTGTTCCTCAGAGGTATGCAGGAAGGCATTTTATATAACATAATCCTAAATTCAAATAAATTCATAAACAAATAATAACTGTTCTCATTGTCGTTTGCTTATACAGTAGACTTGTTAAATATACAATATCTTGCTAAAGACACAATTTTACCAGGTTACCATTTCCTATACTTTTCTTTAATTCCCATTTTATTACTCAACTCTTCTTAACTAGAAGAGAGCTGTTACTTGAATAAACATGAAGAAAAGCACCCAGTTCTGATTTAAAGCAGAAAAATATGAAGAATCGATTACTTCTAATAGTTAATATCTGAGTTAAAAGTATATATGCCTTCTTTCTAATTTGATTTTTATTTTTTTGTCTGGTTACAGATTCCAGCCTTATGTTATCTTTATCCCCAAGATTAAGAGTCCTTTGGTACCTGGTGTTTTCCTCTTATGATTGTACATCTGTGTTCCAATCTTTAATTTTTTTACAAGCTGAACAGATTGAGTCCTTAGAGTCTAATCATTGTATAGCACTTTCTCCAGTTCCTGAATAGGACCTGAGGCTTTTTTGCACACCTTCTCCAGTTTTTCAGTAGACTAGGAAAAATGTGGACATCAAAAGTAAATACAATATTCCACTACTAGTTTCACTCAAGCTACATAAATGAAGAAATATCACCTCCTGAGAAGAAGGGAATATTCCTCTGCCTCTAATGAGTTGCACGTCCTTTGTGACTCAATTTAAGGTTTCTCACCACTCCAGCCATTCTACTGGTGGGCCTTCATTCCTTGTTACACATACTCTGTGCATCAGTCCATAGCTGGTTTCAGTAAAACGTATTTTTGTTGAAGAGGCTGAATTGCTACGATTCTATGAATTTTTCAGATAATCTGCATCACTTTGTGGTTACCCTCTCCTTCTACCACTCCAGCAGCCTTTGTGTCACCTGCGAATCTTGTCTGTAGTCATTTTGCATGGGCTGGACCCAGTTCTGCTTCCCATGACAGCACCTCCTCTTAATGATGACTTCCCATTGACAGCTACCTTGGAGGCCTATCAGGTAGCCATTGCTAATGCAATTTGGTGAATACTCTGCTTGTACTCTCAGAATTATTTTAGCTTGTTGATTGCTTGGTTCAAGTAGCAAACCAGTTTGGAATCCAGGAGCCCTGAAAGCCTAAATCTCATGTAGTGGAAAGTAGCTATAATGTTCAAACTCTGCCCTGCAGGCTGCACTGAGCCTAGAGCATCCCCTGCTGCTTCAGTCTTGGGATGGCACTCCCAGTCAAGCAGCCCAGGCAGGGAACTAGCCTGTGTTTATTTTTGTTGTTTCATGTGAGGTAATCTTGTACTTCTTAGGTGGTGTTTATTCTTATGCAGAAGAAAAAAAAAAAAAAAGTTTGAAATTGTCCTGGAAAAAGTATTTGATGTTTTCTCACAATTCCATTCTTTGTCTCAACTTCTAGAGCCATTTTCTAAAAGCCCCCTGTGCAAAACAGAAGATGAAAATGTAGAAAATAAAGAGGATACAGAATAAACTAATTATATTTTATATCCCAAAATATACTAAGAGCAGCCATGCCTTATAATGTCCAATTCAGGAAAAAATACGAATGTCCTCCTCTAAGGAATAAATTTTCTAAAGTCACTTTTTCACATTCCATTATTCCAGAGGGTTTAACTCACACTTATTTAAATCAGTTATATTCTGTTTATTCAGATATAGCCTTCAAGGTAGCATGCATAACTGAAGTGGTTTAGGTTGCATTTTTTCCAACAGAACATGTTAAAGATCATGTAGGTGAGTAATCAATGCCATAAAATAACTGCTCCATTTCCATTGCTATGGACAAACCCTCATTCTGATTTTCCTGGTTCTGAGTGAGACATGCTGGTTTGTCACTGCTGAATGGTGAAATTCACTCTGTCTCACTGAAACTCTACTGTGATATACATACCAAGCTATTTCTTCCACTGTTTTCCTTCATGGTGTGCAGTCTTGTTTTTGAGCAGTTTCTGTACATTTACTAAATCTACCCTCACAGTTTGCAGTGAAGGGCATTATTTCTCTCTCTGTTTTACATATAGAAAATAAGACATAGGTTGTTCCCAGGTGACAAAAGGAAGTCACTGGCAAGGGCTGACGAAAGCCCAGATGTCCTGAACTGGAGTCTAATGTTTAAACCGTAAGGCCATCATTCCTCAAACACTTCATCACATTTGCTCTACTGGCATTTCCTCAGAGCAGCATTTACATCCATGTGCAATAGTACCCTGGCAGCCTCTCAGTTGCCCAGTTTAGCTGCTGTGTATCGAGTTCAGAGATGAAGAGCAGATTTGGATGTTCTCATCATTGTCCCAGTGGACTGGAAGGCAAAGGTCACATTCAAAAAATCAGCTGCTACCTGAGCCCATGGTTCAGCTGGGAGGAGCGAGGGGTAGGGAAACACTCAGGCTGACTTAACAATTCACATCCTAAATTCTTTTGCTGCATCCAACAAGATGGAAAATATTTTCCCTACAACAATATCAAATACATTTGTAGAATTGTCTTCTAATTCCAGGATGTATTCAGCCTGTAACTGATACTATTTCCCCAAAGATTTTTTTTATTTTTTTCACCAGCTACTTTTTGAAAATATAAACAAAAGTAGAGTTTCACTGCAAGGGTATTAGTACTGCTGGAAAACACTAAAAGCTTTAATAATGAAAATAGGGCAGTCTGAGAGTTTATGGTTTACAAGTCTGCTGTTTACAGCTCCAGGTGAGATACTTACTGGCTTAAATGGGCATTTTGTCAATTACTAAGATAGATGTGACAGCAGTAAATGAAAAATTGCAATTTGTTTGTGTATGGGGAGGGTAGATGGAAAAAAAACCCAAAACACTGTAGGTGTAAAGTTACCGACACTGTATTTTATTCTCAGAGAAAAAGATAGGTCAGTGACTCTCTTCTGCATTGTCTCCTGAGATAGAAGACTTTCCAAGGTATGAAAGCATGTTTCTAAGTGCTGTCATTGAGATTTATCCATCCAACACTGTAACTGTGTCATATTATGGTTCCTTAGTTTACCTTAAAGAAACAAAGAAAAACTTACTTTTTATTGTCTATCAAATGTGCTGCATTTACCCAACACTCCTTCCACCGTAACATCTCAGTGACATTTTAGGTATTTACCTAATTATTCATTATAATCGTTAGGTTTCTCCTGGTTCGCTCAGCCCTCAATCATTCTATTCTAGAATTTTATAAGCCTTATTTGTCTTTCTCTTCACTCGCAATTTTAGTTTCTTTTCGTTAAAAGCAGTGATGCTGTTCATAATTCTGGATCTGCACTGATCCTGTAAGCATGTTATTTTTTAGGTAATGCAGATATTTCCTGATCCATAATATGCAATAAACAGGTTACCCTGTGCAACTAGATGGAAGATTAAATCAATGCTTTTGTTAGCTAGTTGAAGCACAGGCTTTTGCAAAATTATCCAGAATGCCTTTGACTGACCATCTGTTTCAAATGGAAATGAATCTTTGGCTTTAATTATAAATCACTCATGAATATTATTTTTCTTTTCTAACCTAGTCTGCCCTTTTGGAGATTGCTTGAAATCTCCCTGTGTTGTATGAAAGGTGGGTGAGATTACCAGAGTGGCTGATAGTGTAATTTAATTTTTTTTTATTAGCCTTCCTGGTAATGAATTTAAATGTTTATGAACTTGCTGCAAGTTGAAGCAAAAATCTGTGTTACCAAACTGTGTTTACAAATTTGCTACGAGATACCATGTTATGAAGCAGCCTAAGTACAAATATGTTAAACCATATGGAAAATCCGCCCCAATCTTGCTAAATTCTTCCAATGTTTAATTGCCCAGATCATTAAAAGTGTGCACCCTCTAATTGTTTTTTCTAATTTCATGGTCTAGCCCTCAGATCCTCTTATAATTCCTTATGTGTTCATCCTGAAGGTGTGCGTAGATTGAGACCAAACACAAAAAATTCCTATTTCAAGTGATGTTCTCCAACAAAGAATTACTCATCTCAGTAAGGATTTGTCATTAAAATGCTTTGGAGATTTATTTTTTTTCCAAAGAAAGGGTAAAGTTTTTATTTTAAATTAAGTGGGGGGCAGGGAGGAGGAAACAGCAAGCTCTGGGCTGGGGTGTCAGGGGAGTCCTTACTATTGGTAAGATCCTCTCTGGGGCTCTTTGCTTTCATCTTGTAAGGAGTGAGAAGGGGAGCAGTCCTTCCACTTCCTCTGGTAGAGTGGCTTCCTTTTCACTCATGTTGTCAGCAAACCATTCTCTGTTTGGTTTATTCTAGCTGGTTTGGCCAACATGCCCTGTGCGTCCAGCACATACTTTTCTCTTCCACCTACCCAGTCTGAATCATAGTACTGTCCTAACTTGCATCTTCTGTGGTTCAGGGCAGCAGCTCCTTTTTATGACTGAGAAAGAAAAGAAAAACAAACCAAGTTACGCTTCTTGGCACATTTTCCAGCTCCACTAGAGAACTTGGCCCTTGCTAGTCAGTACAAAGACCTCGAGCAAGCAGAGGAATCTTTTTCCTGCCAAGCTGTCTTCCCAAGCAGAGGCCAACTTGTAGCAACACAGTGTGGAGATGAGTCAGTGAAAAATGGACGTAGGTAAACACTGTTAACTAATGTTAAAGAAATTTCTGCCATGTCTCCAGAGACTGCATTTATTTCTTCATCCAAGAACCACTGAGATACGGAGGTACTTGAACACTCCTAACTGAAATTCTAGGGTATGTGCTGGTCTTCTCATAACTTTTCCCCCTGCAAATTTCAGTTCCCATCCCTCCTCATCATCAGCTGTTGGTGCCTGTCACCACAACACAGGCCTACACATAACACTGTTTGTGAAGAAGAAACAGTTTAGCTGGTTCTCTTCAAAGGAGTTCCAATTTAGAAGGGTGCCAGATTATCTTTTTATCTTCTTGAAGGTATCTTTTCTCCAGAATGCCCAGAGTAACTTTTATCAAAATGTACTTTATTCAAATGGTTTCATAAAATTCTTAAATTAAAAGCAAAACTTTTTTAAAAATAAAGATATAAAGAATTGAAAAAGAGAGGTAGTTCTTGCTTCATATAGCTAGCTTTCACTCTACAGAAGTTGGTCCTGACAAGGCATACATAGGACACTTCATTAAATAAAAGCTTTAGTTTTTAGAAGAGCAATTTCTCCCCTCTTCCCTTGTGGTCAGTTAGACTGTACTTGTTAGGTCTATTCTAAATATACATTTTGTACCAGTATAATGTGTTGATGTGATCTTGCTCCAGTGTGATTAAAGCGGTGTTTTATAGTAACATTGCAGTAGCTTTTTTTCCCCCTTCCACACAGAATACAGATAAGATATACCCATATGGGCTTCTTTGGGGGACACAGACATTCTCTTTGCTCCTGTAGGGCAAATTCCCTTACTTTATATCATGCTTGGTAGAAGGCAGAGAATTTTTCCTGCACCCTTTGAAAGTGCTTGACCATCACAAGACTTCTCTCTTACCTTTGAATTGTGTCAATCTGCCTGCCTTGTGATTTCACATGGTGATTTGTGCAGTACTTCTCTCTATGCCGACCACCCAGACCCTGGATGCCATGTCCCAGATTCTGTCATCTTAGCGCTCACCACCACTGTTAAATTAGCATGTGGGGTTTTTCCTGTATGATTTTGCTCTACTAAGTGCTTGTACAGAAAGTGTATCCACACTAAATGTTTCATACAGCTTTTAAAGGAATCCTGAGAAGGATTAACTGTTACTTTATAGAATGACAGAGGCAAATATCTTCACACTCTTCCCTCCACACACCCCCCCTGCCATTCCTGTACTATATTCAGTGAGTGAAAATGATTCACTATGATTCATTCTCATTCCCTCCCAAGCTGTGTTCTTCCCTGAAAAGTACAATATTTTTTTTTCATATTCTCCATGAATACTGTCACTGTGACTTCTTTCTCCTGTGTTTCTCATAGAGAAGTTCAGCCCCAGCTTCTGAAGCTGGTATTATATCTGGAACCAAATCTCTGCACCTATGAGATATTGGCAAAAGGAAACATACTCCCAGAATTGTTCAGCTGGACCTTAAAATTTCTGGGCTCTGAAATGCAGACTAATAGAATTAGAGAAGCAAGAGATGGGGGATATTTACAGAGTTCTTTTCATTTCCCTGCAAATGAAAACTATGGCTTTACACACTCGGCCTCTGAAAAAAAACCACAACAAACCACAAACAAACAAACAAACAAAAAAAACCCAAACACCATTGACAACTGCACAGATATAATTAGCTTGTGTAAAGCAGGAAAGATGTTGATGCTTCATCCAGTTTTTCATTTTTGTTTGAATGAAGACCTCCACACAACAAAAGCATTTGTCTGGATTTTTACACCAGCAGATGACTGTTCAAAACATGTATTCTCAATCACTGTCTATGTGTATATTTATGTGTATATAAAAGATACTTAGGCAATAAAAGATAAGCAGCCAAGAGACTTGCAGACATTATCCTACAATGTTAGCAAAGTTATTCTCACAGCAAGACAAATAGTTATATTAAGGAACCTGACCCTGGAATTGGGGAACCGTTACTTTTCCATTCATAAATTCTACTAAATCGGTGCCTTCTGAGTGTTTATCACTAGCATTAGGCCTTCTCAATACATATGGTCCTTAGGAAATGAAGCTCTGAATATTTGTCTCAGGTTCCAGCTGCTCTGCTTTGGGATGTGAGAAGTGTGCTCAGACTTATTAAATCTGCAGGGCTTGGAAGCTGGCTGCGCCACAGAGAATATTGCATGTGAGACCCAAGTGCTGTAGCTCTTTGGCATGAAGCACAATACATGCAAGAGTTCATCAGCAATTCCAGAGCCGACTCTAACACGTCTCCTTGTTTTTCAGCTGCCGAGGAAAAGGTGATTTTTAAAAAAGTCAGAAGTTAAACAGATGTCCTTGGAGAAACCGAAGATGGAAATACTTCTCATGTGAGCAATTGCACACACACAGAATGGAGCCTGCTTTGGTAGGTTTCTCAAGAGACCAGTAAACTTTCATACAAGTCGTGGAGCGCAGAGCTGCCTTGCTGGTTTCTGCCTTGAGTTTTGTGGGTAAAACATGATATGGTGCCTGATGTTGAATTTTTAAGCGCATGAAGTACTACAGGACTAAATTTCTCCAGGCTAAGAGGAGACAGTACTTTTTAAAAACATGGATAAGCCAGCTCTGCTACTGTGCCACTTCAATTGCTTCCAACTATAAGCAGAGATCCTGAGACTTTTTTGAAATCCATGAACTGTATGTTTATGGACTTTTTTGTCTGAGAGGTCAAATTGCAGTTGCCAGTAATTGCAGACACGAAGTAGAAGCAACTTCTGTGCCACTGTTGATGGACGGCAGGGAAATCAGAAGGAAATATTAAGTAGGAAATTATTAGCTGATGAAGGGAGGGAAAAAGAAGGAATCTTCCCTTAAGCTTGCTCACTTCTTGAATTTAACACAGCTAACCTGAAATACTCTATTTCTTTTTAACTCTGCTTCTCATTCACTTCTGCATTGCTTTCATCTAGAGTGTGAAATTCCAAGTCACTGTGAAAAAGCTGCCTTAGGAATATTCTTGGCAATACTGCAAGCAGAAAGTACAGGAAACCTCACAAGAGAGTTTGTTCCAGCAGCACTGCCATCCACGTTTCACAGCTGCAAGGACATTCAATGCAAATCTAAACACCGTCTTTTCCCTTCTCCAGAACCTTGCTGAGGTAGAAGTACCTGGCACCAGAAAAGTTTAATTAAGTTAGGCCACAATCATGACCCACTGAAATAAAGATTAAAAGAAATTAATCCATGAGAAAAGTTTCACAAACCAAAAGGGGGGCAAGATGGTATAACCCAGTTATTGCATAACAGGCTGTCCACCAGACGGAGCACAAAAGCAAAGGGGAAAGATGAATAAGGGCAGATATTTCTCTGTTGTTTGTTGTAGCCACATTTGGCAAACATTTATAAGTGAAGAAGAGCTGGTGCAATGATGACTGTTGGAAAGTGTTGTCTCTCCTGTTTGCCTCCAGTGCTGTTTTGTACCACTGTGTCTGTTCTAGCAGGCCAGTGAGGCTTTTTTAGGACATGCTTTTGGTATCTGATCATAGGTTAACTTTCTGAAAGCATATTTAAAGTAAAGAAAAAGGGTGTACACATTTATGGGGGAGTTAACCTTTCCAGTGCTCTTACAGGTAACAAATTTAGCTGCTAAGCTTTACTGCACAGGTATATTGGCTTCATCAGTGAATGAAATGAAGTCTATTACTGGTACAAGATCTTAAAGATCATCTTAAGCTCTACATTCTATCTAAAAAGTCTGTGAGATGGCAGGGCTCCTGACCACCCCATTTTGACCAGGAGATTGCTCCTCCAGAGAAGACACAATGGAGGAGACACAAGGCTGTATTGTGAACACCTGAATGCCAAGCTATGTTGACTTTGCCATTAAAATACAGAGGCCTTCAGTGCTGAAACTGCATAAGAATTTGAAGGGAATAAATGCAATTCAGAACTTTATTAGCTGATTTCACCCTGTGTTTAAGTGCTGTCTCCTTGACTGACGCAGAAACTCAACTTTAGCTTGTATATACTGTGCTACAGTTTTCAAAGCTCCTCAGGGTGCCCCTAAAGGAAAGGTAATACAGCCAAAGGTATACTGAGCAGTATACTGGCATAATTGCTCCTCTGTTTCTTTTTAATCTGAGTTTTGCTTCAAGTTTGCAATATAGGTAACACTTTTTAAGTTCATTGCTTTTAGAATTATTTTGCTTTCAGGCAGTAGATGTATTTATTTATTTATTGCCATTACTGATTTTTTCTCAGTTCTCTGTTGGAATTGACAGATCTCTTTTTCTAATCCTGTCAACTGTAATAACCACGTAGCTCTGGTTATTTAACCCACTTCTGTTCATTTAGGAAAAATCATCAGAGAGGTCTCATACAGTTTAAAAAAAATATGTATAGCAGTGTGATTGCATATATGTGTAAACAGTGAGGCATATCAGGAAATAGTTTATTGCTGATTTCATCAGTAACCTTTATGCAGAAGTTGGACTTACTGTTTTCTTAATACATAATATTGGAATAATACCAATTTCACTAGGCAAATAAAGTGCTGGGTAAATCTTCGGTGAAAATGAAAGGATTTGGTTTAAAAAATTAGAATGCTCTACTACTAGCCAGAAAAACACAGTAAATGGTCAAATGCGAGGCTGGTGAATTTATTGTAAGTAAAGCGTAATCTCTAAGTAAGAATGACTGTTGATGTGCTAAAGTCTAACTGGCACAGGGTTCAGAAATTAAAAGCTGGCCTCAGTATTAAGAATAAATCACATATAGAAATACAATTTTGGTATAGTTCTGTTCCAAGTTCTGAGGATACAGCACTGACTCCA